AGTACATAATGAAAAGGACACATCTGCCCTTAGTACTTACATGATAAATAAAGTAAATAAAAGTTGAAATAAATAACAACTGAATTAACAAACTGACTCAAACTGACACTACTATAACTGAAACAAATAACTACACATGCTGTCCTACGAATACAGTGGGGACCACTGCTGTGGGGCCCACATCAGTGTTATCTACATTTACCAAGTCATTATAATTCAAAAATGAAGAAAGACACATAATTGGAAAAGAGAATTCTTAATTGTTTTCCTACCAGAAAGTGGGAATCGAGCTGGGCGTTCGGAGCTGAATGTAGAGAGGCAGTGAAAATCAAACTTTGGAGAGTACAAAAAAGAGGGGGAAATTATAGGACAATACCAATAGGAGAAGACAAACAGTATCAAGACAAATGATTCACAGGACAATGAACAAGTAGAACAATCATCTGGAGAAAATGATGTGCAAATAGCATGAAACACATATCAGTAGAAGATATGGCTTAGAGAAGGTGGTGGAGAAAAAAGTATAACCAAAAATCCAGGCTTTGTTCTTTTGGGATGGATAAGGTTTTGCTCAATGTGGCTTTTAAAGATATAGAGAGTGATAGGAGAGGTGTGGTTACTTGTGGTAAGGATGGGAAGTGAGCAATAGAGAAAGATAATGAGGGGGTTTATAAAATCCAAATGCACTCCATGTAGGTTCTGGTTGATGGCCCATCAAATAGGTTGTTTATAAACTTAAGTTCTGGATTGATGACCATGTGCAGAAGTTATGGCGGAGCTGGAAGGAGCACAAAGCATGAATGTAAGCTTCACCATATTGTGAAGCTGCTTCCCTTACTTTTTACGAGTATAAGCTTCATTCCAGTGATAAATTTTAGCTCAGTTCCAGCATAACCCTCCTTAGAAAGGCAGTTTTCATGGCTTCCAGAAAGCCACCATCAAAAATAGAATTCCTTAACCCCAAAGCAAGAAACCTTAGTAAGATATCTTTGTTGGAAAAAATCCTCCATGTATCTGGTTAATGGATTGAAATAATAATATAATAATAGTAATAATAATAATAATAATAATAATAATATTTTCCTTCACTTATTAAAATTATAAAAAAAGGAACGTTTCTGGAGTCTGGACCAAGGTTCAAAATTTCGATACGATGTGCCCTGTATCGGGCATATCGTATTGGTGGCTTCACGATACGCCTATTTACAGGTGTTTCGGAAACCGGCCTCTTTTTAATGAAAAATATGGTTTAAATAGGCCCAAAAACCAAATTTTGAAAAAAAAAAATTAAAAAACATAAAAGTGTGTTATTTTAAGTACCGATACACTGGGGCGTATTGATATTTTGAACCTTGGTCTGGACCACGTCTGGCAACTAGGGATGCAAGTCAGGTACCTGATCTGAAGAATTTACACTGCATTGGGCTCGGGCTTTCAGGCCAGGCTCATTCAGATTTTAATAAAATTTCAACCCAAGACTGCCCAAGTTGCAGCCCTACTTGCAACATGAAATGCTAGTAATCTAGTTATGTTCTTGCAAAGTGTAATTTTGAAATACTGGTAGAAGCTTGTCTCTGTATCTAAGATGCAAGAGTAAAATCAATGCAATTTCAATCTAAAAGTATCATTTTCCTTTCCTCATCTGATTAAGAAAATGGCATTTAACCTACACTATTATAGTTGCATTTAAAGGAACATCAGTGTCTCAGGACAGATAAAAAGAAAGAGATATGTACTTACAATATAGAAGGTTTGCCAAACTCCCATTACTCATATATTGATATATCAACATGTGTTGCCCTTTATCCACACAATAACCAACCAAATTCACAAGATTACGGTGATGCAGCCTGCCTAACAGAAGTACCTGTGCGAAGATTGGCCAACAAACAGATACATAACAATCTCTCTATAAAATGGAAGGTAAATTTTAGTAAAGGAACCAATAGCCGTTAGAAAGCCCAATTTCAATTAATTTTTAAGATGCAATAAGCCAATACTATTGGCTTTAGCTTTTGAAATTGATTGGATAATGATGTAGTGTTGCTAAGAAATGGGAAGTAAGGTGTGATGCATTGGCTTGATGACCAATCCAGCTCAACCATAGTATAGATGGGCCAATCTCTGCTAGGGGTGCTCATGAAAAACCAAAAAACCGAGCCAAGCCACACACTAAAAAAAATACTGGTTAACCAAACTGATCAGTTCAGTTTCAGTTATCCTATAAGAAAACTGGCAGTTAACTGAGCCGACTGTACTTGTATTTACATATAGTATCATTGAATATTATAGATTTCATTAATTATATCCTATAATTAATTCACCTACCCAGGCTACCCGCAGCTATCCTACTTGTACTTGACTACTTTTCTACTAAAGATTCCCACCCCAATCTCCCCATCCAACTATTATTAATTATTAATTATATATATTTTAATTTACCTACCTAACCTACCCACCCAGCTATGGGCTACCCTAATCATTATTTTTTACCTTTTTGTGATAAGTGACACCCTTCTCTACTTGAGATTCCCAAATTCCCTACCCAAGCTACCCAACCTGTCTTTCCCTCCCCAAACCCCCATCATCCCAAAGGCCAAATCTCAATCGTCACTCTTATTTTTTCCTTTTCCTTTATTCTCCAGCCAAAACCCTCCATCTCCATTCCTCGGAACAAAATGGAACACCTCCATCTCCATTCCTCCTTTCCTCTGACCTCTCGCTCTTTGGCTCCTCTAATCTCTACCACAGCAGTACAGCACTACGTTGCTGCCTCGATGGATGCCAGTGACAATCTCCATACTCCACAACAGTGCAGCAGCACCATAGTCCATACTCCATAACCAGTTGGCCCGGCTTGGTTCTTCTCTCTCAATCTCAAAGGTACAAAACACCAGCCTCTTTCTCTCTACTCTTCCTTTGCTTTTTTTTTATATTTTTGGAGATCCACAGTTTACTGTATATGAAATTTACAATATAATAAAAAACGAAGAACCAAACCAGTAAAAAACCAAACAGATCAACTGGCTAACTGATTGGTATCGGTACGGTTTCAGTTCACGATTTTCCAAAAATTGAAGGACCGGTTCAGTTTGGAAAAAAGCCCATGGTTCGATTAACTGAACTGTGAGCACCCCTAACCCCTGCTCAGGTAAACCCAAGGAGCTCATTCTTCTATGATCAAGGTTTGGACCAGGTTGGGTCAATGCATATTGCTTTAGACTCGTGAATATCTTATTATCCATTGAGACATAAAGTAAAGCATGTTAGAGCTTAAACCCAAGAGTCCCAAAACTAAAAGAGAAACTTAAATTGTTTAATTTCTTATAAATATGCATACAGAATTCCATGCAGAATATATTGCCAGCTTCGGTGTGAATCACTTAGGCCTCAACCCAAAACCAGCCCAACTAAACTCCTAAAATGCTAATATTGAGTTATTCAGTTTGGTTAATCCAAGTTGCACGCCTGCAATTCTACCCCCCCCCCCCCGGGCAGGCCTAAATAGAACAAGGCAGAAACTGGTAACAAAGTGTACACAGATCCATTATATCACTCTCACCATTATCAGCCTTTAGCCTATAGTGTAAGACTAACCTAGGGACGACCATTTTGGCCTGGCCTGTCCTGGAAATTTCACACCAAGCCCACACATAATGTAGGCCAGGCCCAGGCCAAGCAAAACCCTAGGCCTGGTTGGCCCGGCCTAGCCAGGAAGTTATATATATATATATATATGGTATAAAATCTTAATTCTTATATGGTATATATATATATATAGTATAATATCTTAATTCTTATAATATCTCATAAATAAATGTGATATAATATCTTATATATAAGGTATAATATATTAATATATACACATATTTTTTATATTTTTTGTCATTTCGATTCTAAAATTAAATTAACATTTTAATTTTTAAAAAATATGTAATTTATTAATTTATACGGGAATAGCCCAGATGCCCAGCTCATGATCATCTCTAGACTAACCCAACCTGCATTCAACCAATCTGGACCAAGCCATGAGTTTATATTGAAAAATGAGCACCTCAGGTTGGGCTATGACTGTGCTCAGGTCAGGCTTGGGTGAATTTAAAGCTAAAGTTAGTTAAAATGCATTTTTAACCCTAGGACCCATAAGCAAAACTCAACAAATCCAATCAAAACTAAAATGCAGTCTCTTTAGCATAACTTTGAAGAGATGGTTAGAAAATACAAGTTGGTCATGAAATTGTTTGTTTAACAGATAAGTATTATTTAGACATATTATTTGTCCTCAAATTTTGCAGTGAAATTTCATCTAGTTGCTGGGGGAGTTTTCAGGGATGGGGAGGGCAGAATGCAAGCACTTTATTCTGGCCCAATAGGTGTGGAAGACTCCTTAAGGGCTTAAGTTATGTCTCTACTTCAAGGTATGAGATTGTCCAAGCAAATAGGGATATCAAAACCTTGAGGTAGAGGGAGACTCTAAACTTCTAATAGGATGGCTGCAGACAAAAAGCTTGGGTGTATGGATCCTTAGACAACAGATGAGGGAAATACTTTGTCTAGCAAGAGAAGTGGGAGTAATCTTCAAATGTGTAAGGAGATCAGCCAATTCTGTGGCTGACAACTTGGCAAAGCATGGGACCCTCAGGGAAACAATCATCTAGTTGCTAAGACTTGCATTGGCTAAGGTAAACCATGTTGTCATGCAGATAGCAGTGGATCCTTTTATGGGAAACAAGAAGATGAAAGACTAGGAAAGTTCTATCCTACCTAGCAACAGCATTCTAAATAGCACTGACCTCCGTTTGGAACTCTTTTTCACCCTGTCTAGAATTAGAAGCGAGCACCTTTACAGCTACCACTTCACTTGTAGGCATTGTAGCTTTATAGACTGGGCCAAATGATCCTTGTCCCAAGATGGTTGTAAAGTTATGTGTGGCTTTCTGAATATCCCTGCACAGAATTAACAAACTAGGTAAGTACTTGCATTGGCATAATTAACTCAATTCTACACCAGTCTGACAATGAAATTTTGGAAGAGCTAAAAGAGCAGGGCTAATTTCTATTTGCTTTATCAGCACCCATTAGCAATGTTCAAAGGTTTTTTTTTTAAAAGAAGATCTTTTGGAGGGAACTTATTGAGAGATGTTTCCAGTCAATTCTAGAAACATAAAATCAAGAAAGGAGAATGATTGAGCTCAATAAGGAGTTAAAGACAGATTCTCATATTTATACAAGCCCGATTAAGTACATTCCCTGGGTTAGTTCCTTCTGTGCCCTTACAATCCTTCTTTTTTTAATAAGTAACAAGTAAACAAATTACAAATTACAACCCGGCCCTGGGCAACCCCCACTCTAGCCAACATGTCAGCCAAAGAATTGGCACTTCTGAGAAGGAAGCTAAACAAAAAAGGAGCTGAAAAGGAAGCTAAACAAAAAAGAAAAAGAAGACTAAGACTAACAAGTTACAAATTACAACCCGGCCCTGGGCAACCCCCACTCTAGCCAACATGTCAGCCAAAGAATTGGCACTTCTGAGAATCCATCCAAAGAATTGACCCTTGAGATCCTTCTCTCTTGGATGCAACTAGCCAACTACCTTCAGTCTCTAGGCACAATTCCTTTTGTGTGAAATTCAAGTGCCAAGGATAACATTTTATTTTACTTGAGTTTTCAGCAGTAATTAAGTGAAGAAAAACTAGCAAAAGTATGCAGAAAAGGAGAAGAAAACAGAGGTAGAAAGGAGAAGGGGAGAAGAAGAGAAGAGAGAGTGGGAGAGAAAGGGAATCAATTGTGAAGTCTGAAGTGACCCCCCACTTCTAATATAACTCACCCAATAAAGAATAAAAGGGAATTACAAATCTGCCCCTACTAAGTGGCAGCAATAAGAAAAGAAAAAGTAAGCCTCCAGCAGGCCAACAACCCAACTCAATGACAAAACTAAAAAAGCCACAATAAAGGCCAGCCAAGTTGTCAACAATTCCTAATCCTAAAATTATAGTTGTCAAGGCATCAACTAGGCACTCTTGGTTGGGCGCCTCACCTAAATGCCTTCTTTATAGCAACTATGCAACTAAAATGACAAGGCAGGAACCTTGTTACAATATCATTTATATTGCTACATCTTACTAATATATATGTTACTACATCCTATTATATACTATATATATCATTTAAGCTGCATCTGGAAGTTTTAGGTCAGAGGGTGGATGGGCTGAGTAAAAGAGGAAAGCTGATCTGGGATATAACCCCAGTGGTGGCATTTTGGTGTCATGGCAAGAGAGGAATGCAAGGGTCTTGAAAAACAAGTCTAGTTCTGCTGGTGCTATTTATCAGAAAATTTTGGGAAAGATGTTCTCATGGTTGGCCGGTCATAGGTTGTTTAAGGGTGTAATTTTGAGTCCTTTTTTTATGAATAGTTTGAGTCCTTTTTTGTATATGACAATCATTTTGTAAAGCAGGGTGGGGGGTCAAGGTCAGAGGGGACAGGTTTTTTGGGTCATTGAGTATATCATCTTGCTGCACTTTCTGTTCATGTTAATACATTTATACTTTGCCTTCTCTCCAAAAAAAAGTTTTACTATTGAAATTTAGAAGATCCAAAGGTTCTGAGAAGAGAAAAAGAAAAAAGAAAAGAAAAGAAATATAAACAAGTTTCTTTTTTTTCTAGTCTCTCTTTCTCTTACATTAAATAAAACAGCATCTCTACCCTTGTTCTTTTTCTCTTTTACTTACTTTTCGTCTTAAATTTTATCATATAAAATTATAACCTTAGTTGCTAATTTGATGTGAAATTGCTTTATTAAATACTTACTATATTTTTTTGATCAATAACACCAGCTTCATTAAATTAAAAGAAAAGAGGGAATATGGATACAAAAGGGGAGATAAAATATCTTAGCTCCCCAAAAACAGAAAACAAAGGGAATGCAAAGAGAAAAGATTAAAAACTAGCCCAAAAAACAGACTCCCTACTCACTCCTTGCTTGGC